ATTTGACCACAACTGTAGGAGATCACAGAGAGGGCACAGAAACGTTTGACTGCCATCAAAAGTTGACGAATAGGGACAACACTCTCTTGGAATAGTTTGCTTAGGTTAGCTCTCATAGAGTTTGATGCTGATCGAGAGCATTGAATCCATATCTATACAGCCGGCAAGGAGACGTGTGCTCCAGGTGATGTTTCAACGAGAGTGAGAAGGGAATTCGAACGAATCAAGTAACTCAAGATTATTCTTCAGTTTGCGGTTGTTCCTCTTTTTGTTCATCTGGTTGGAACTGAAGATGAACTTCGGGTTGTGGTAGGTGTTCGAATGCGTTCTGCGCTACTTGCGCATAGCCAGGCTCTTGTTCGGCAATCGCAGCCAACGGATTATTGAAACCTTCGAATTGTGACATCGGCTCAACGAATATAGTGCCATTGACGAGCTCGATTATGCGTATACAAAGCATAATCGTGACGAAATGAGCGCCCAAAGCAGCCAACTCGACAGCGTTATGAAGACGCCAAGAGAAATTCGATGCTTCACCTAGAAATCGAAGAAAATCTTGAAAATCGCACTTTGACGCATCACGATCAGAAATAATTTCTTAGCGACATACAGCAACCCAAACAGGTTGAACATGAATAGCAAATAGAATTAGCGACAGAAATGTTTGGCTCTAGAAGAGTTTCTGCAATCCAAAAGGTGAAATTCTTTGATGTTAGTTGCTTTAGATCACAGTTAACGACTAATCTGGAGAAAAACATTGGAAATTTTGATTTGATTGGTCATATAGGTCATTGTGCTGAATTGGATTAGAAATTGAAATTGTATGTTAGATGATTATACCAATATTTCGATAGTCAAGTTGAGTTAAAACTTCCACAAATCGAACCGCATTTACCATCACCAATGAAACACAACTCAACGGATGATGTAACAGTGTCCAGCTAATAGCTATCTTAAAATTCCGATAACCTCCTCGTTATTCAATAGCATTATTGTATTGATCATTATTGCAATCATTATTTTCATATTCATAACCAAATTTGAATTTTGTGATTATTCAATTAAAGTTTTTTGACGTATACCACTTCATAAATGTAATATACATTCGGTACTTCAATGAAAATTCGGTGATTGATAAAATTACTCAAATAGATGACACCGATAAACATAAATTAATAGAAGAGTAGGTCAAAGCTGAATGCACCTGATATAGTGGAACAATGATGAGTGTGGTACCAATTGAGGTATGATAAAGTGTTGAGAGCAATACTATGAGTGGATGACTTACACGAGTGGTTATAAACTCAACCACTGTACTCAAGAAGACCGCTGAACCAGCCACTAAGAAAATAATTCCAATCCACTGAAATTTTCTTGGTGATCAATTGAGACAATGAATGATATTTTCAATTGTCGCGGTCAGTTATATCATCATTATGATGAGAATTATCAATGGTATTGTCGATGTTCGAATGCCATTATCAGAATACAGTTGTCGTTACTATTTATGACATAATCAAGAAAATTATCAGTGTAATAAGTAGCTATTTAGTTTTGTGATTACATATGGATCAACGTTTCAGAGCTTCTCAACGATACAAATTCACTGAATCTCACTAAGTTGGAGCGAAAAAAAAGAAGCTTATTGGAATGTTCTATCGAAAGAACCCCATTTCAGTATGAATGTTTACTTCTATTCGGTATTTGAAGCTGTTGATCTATGCATGAACATTCTACTAAAATTCAGTTTTGCTCAAAATTGATGAGGTGCAATGAATTTCTGTCGTTGAAAACATCTGAAATGTTAATCCGCACATAATCATAAACCCAAATAATTGCTTGTCATAACGATAATTTGATGCACTCACCTGTATGATGCGTTCATATCGTTCGGCTTGTCTCGTTTGAAAACTTGACATATGTGGTAGAGCAGGTTTATAGGACTGTATGATGCGTAGAACAATGAAGAGAATAGCGCATGATGCCACCAAAATGAACATGTACAGAAGTGTTTCGAGGAAGTGCAGAGTGGCAGCCGAATGTGTCACTAAATGTGTGCATCGAGCAGCTCCGTGGAAGAACAGTTCACAGAGTTCTTCCGAGAAATATCCATTCCACGAGAGATAGTTATATGAGACTAGCAAGAAACATGTGGATTGTATAGTCAGCAGCAATGAGGTGACTCTGAAAGAGACTTCGATGATAATTAAGATCATAGACTCAAACTAATGACATTTGTTTGCTATTGAGGTGACTCAAAATAATATTATTGAGGTGCCTCTGAAAGAGACAAATGGTAGACATTCGAAAATTTCTCAATCCTATTAAACAGTTATCATATGAAATCATAATCCAGTAATGAGGGCTTCTATGCTGAAGCGAACAACCATTGAAAAAAGTCCGCAGTATTATCGATAGAAAATGGCTCATTAGAAGTCAAAATTTGAATTCCCTTCTCAAAATTTGGATTGATTAAGTGATCGAATGTTTTAAATCTCTGGGATGAGTGGCATTTTATTTGAAACATTTATACGATTAGAATGCAATCTGATAAAAAACTCGTACAGTGCAGGCAAAATAAAATTGTTGGTCGGTGAGCGTGTGGATAATAACATGAAAATGGCACTCATGAAAACCAGAAATGGTGTTTTTTGCTCGGTACCATGGAACATTCGATAGAACGCCTCAACACTCGCCGATATGATATCGATTAACAATAGCACAACGGCTATACAACCCGCACAAACACCTGAAGCACATAC